GATTAAAGTAAAAAAAACTTGTAATTTGAAGTCAAAATTGTTTGTTGTTTTATGACTGTTGTTTAAGATGTCCAATATAAGCTTAGAATTTAAACTACAAACTCATGTTAACAAATTTAATTTTAATAACTATAGTTACTTTATGTTTCAACTCAAGCATATAACGTGGCAAATATAAGCCAAAAGCAACAAATTACTGTTTCCATGCAATTTGTTAGCCACCATGGCACTACTAAGTGGATTATACGGCGCCTGAGGGCACAAACAATTCACAATAAATCAACTGAGAAATGAGGTCCAGCATAGTCAGTTTGTTAAGAACAAAGTCAATTTGTATTAAGTATTAAAGAAAATATCATGATACAGAATAATTTAAACGTTTTTGTATAGGTACCTATACAGGATGTCAGGTAAATGAGTGTCATAACTTTAACATGTATTGGAATCAATATTGCTCCACACGTTTGTTTTCAAAAGCGAACAATTCGTTGTATATTTTTTTGATAACTGTGGTTTCAAAATATAATATAATTTAATTTAATAAATGATTTACAATCAACGGACATATTTGTCTAAATATTGTACGAGAATCTTAAATTTCAAAGATTTAAGGTAATATGCAATTTTGTAAGCATTTTGTTAATTTCAAAGCTTACAGAGTATTTTGTAAATGTTTAACAAATTATTTCGTTGAAAAATTATACGTGATTTCAGGCAGTCAATGAAAACATTTCCCACTGACAATACGCATCAACAAGTTTAACTGAATTCAGCGTCTGCAAGTTTTGGCTTACTTTATTTTAATTCGTAACGTGTTCGTAACAACTGTCCAGTATTTATAATATATTACCAGAAATTTGGTACTATTGTTATTTGGATTCCTTATACATATTTAACGAGTGTGCAAAGTGCAAAGAATCCGTAAAAAGATGCCATCATTGGTTTTAAAACTAAAAGGGGATACAGTGAAGTGGGTTAAAGTTATGAAATACATCAGTACCTAAGTGTTGTAGTAGTACTGATAATTATATTGTACCAAATTTCTTTATACTTTGATGATTTAGAATGGTGTGTTAATTAATTGGGTGAACGTTTTTGTGTTTATTTATATAGGTATACCGGGTGTATCTGAGAATAGGCGCACCCCTGTAACTTTTTTATTTATAAAGATAGACACATGAAATTTTGAATGGTTAATTAGGATATAAAATGCCACTTATAAAAGTACAAAATAAATTTTTTGTACATCCGGTTTCACCGGAAATGATACCAACTTTCGATTTTTAAATGGAATGTCCTATACATTTTTACATATTTGGAATCCTGAGGAAATTCTGAGTCAGACAGCATCCTTAAACTGACCTTTTCACGTTTCGTCATCAGAAAATGTATCATCATAAAGATCAATCTAAAGTGCTTTGAACTATCTTATTATCTTTTATGTATTAACACAATGCCTGAAAAATGGAACTTGCCTTAGAAAGTTGTTATTCAGCTATTCCCAGCAGTCTAAACTTGTCAAAATTCGTTTATCTCAAATATATTATCAGGGGCGTGCTGGCAGTCCAATGCAGGCCTGGACTGGATAGTAGATCAGTCCAGACTCAAGCCAGTTTCATATACTTCCTATAGCTAGTAAAAAATGTAATACCTATAATTATTAATATTATTACGATGACACCTCGGCTGATAAAACGTCCGAGACTCTCTTCGCAACAAGGAACTTTTTTCAGGTAGTTTATCAACTATTATGTCACTGTCTAAGTATGAAAGCTTCCAAATTTGCGTCACTTAGTGTACTTCTTAAACGATTTTTTATAAATTTTAATGACATTAATTATTATAATATTATAATTATAACCGAACACTAAAGGCACATACCCGATTTGAAACGCGGTTATAGATTTGTTTTTTATATATTATACCCACAATCTTTACAAAAAAAAAGTCAATCTCTTTAGAATGCGAAGTTCGCATTGCGAACAAAAATCACCTGCTTTGCGCACCACGTGAGCAATCTTTGATTTAGGTATTTGCCGCGTTAATTTAAATTCCCCGAAATAGGTAGTAGTTCTCATATGTTTTTTTTTGGTTTATGGTAGGTTCTGTATAATAAATGCAGGCATGTAAGAAATAAAAATAGTCGTTTTAAGTTCTAAAGTAAACGCAAATGTTTTTAAATATAAGATTTAACAGTTTTAAAGCAAACGCATATGTTTTTAAACAATATTTGCATCTGTCAATGAAATTATGAATAAAATTTGCTATAAATTGTAATAAAGCCAGATTGTCAAATTCAATGTTCTTTAATGTGTAATTTCGTTGTTCGTAGTATACATTAATAATTAATGATTAATTATGCCCAAGCTTTGTTAAAATTTGTCATTGTAAAAGGGAAGAGAAGCAGTCCAGCAGGCCACCAAGTGGTGCAGGCCACCGGGCATTCGCCCGGTGTCCCGGCGGCCCAGCACGCCCCTGTATATTATATATTTACATATTTGGAATCCTGAGGAAATTCTGAGTCAGACAGCATCCTTAAACTGACCTTTTCACGTTTCGTCATCAGAAAATGTATCATCATAAAGATCAATCTAAAGTGCTTTGAACTATCTTATTTTCTTTTAATGTATTAACACAATGCCTGAAAAATGGAACTTGCCTTAGAAAGTTGTTATTCAGCTATTCCCAGCAGTCTAAACTTGTCAAAATTCGTTTATCTCAAATATATTATATATATATATATATATATATATATATATATATATATATATATATATATATATATATATATATATATATATATATATATATATATATATATATATATATATATATATATATTATTATATATATATATATATATATATATATAAACTATAGTTCAAAGCACTAGATTGATATTTATGATGATGCATTTTCTGATGACGAAACGTCGATGGTCAATTTGAGGATGAAACCTTAAGTTAAAAAAAATCATTTTGCACTCTTATAAGTGGCATTTTATATCCTAATTAACCATGCTAAATTTCATGTGTCTATCTTTATAAATAAAAAAGTTACAGGGGTGCGCCTATTCTCAAATACAACCGGTAAGCTATTTTTTTTGTTTAGAAAATTAATTAATAAAGCAATATTTTTTTTTAAAATCCTTTTCATTTAAGTTTCGAATTTCCAACAAATATTTTTTTACTGGGTCTACAAAAATGTTTGTAAAAATAAGGTCCTTTTTGAAAATTACAAGAATTATGGTTGAATTATAATTCAACCAAAATCAACAATTATTGATGTAGGATTTTGTTATTAAATCTACAAAATGTTTGTTATAATTACAAACTACTTATTAATTAGTTAACAGATAACAGTTGGTTGTAAACTTAACATAAAGTAATGTGGATCTGGATTACCATAAAATATTGTTAATATTTGGTTAAAATTGACAAATATTTTTTTACTGTGTAACTACCTTGTAGAAGTGTACTCCACTATAAGAAGCTTGAAGAGGAAAACAAGTTAAACTTGCGATAAACAAAGGAAAAAATGAAGTAGCAATTTTATATCGACCCCAAAACAATGGAGAACTTAAGTTCGCATACAAAAAGCAAAATTTTAATTGCCGGATTACATGAAACGTAAGACGTATAATTGAAATTATTTACCACACGGAATTTAATGGCTTTTTCTTTGTTTTTGTGTGTATACTTTTTCGTTAAACACAGCTTGCGTGCTTTGCAGGTGGTTTTTAAATTACTCTTTTATTTAATTTGGTAAATGCTATAACTATTTTAATTAAAATTAGTTAAATACGTTTATATGTTTGTCTGCAACTAATTTTCTCAACATGGAAAAGCTTCTATTTTAACCTCAAGATATTCGGTAAAAAGCAAAAAAAAGCGTTTTCTAAAAATTAAAAAAGGTTTATTTTAACTTTTATGAAGGTCCACTTTAAAAATTCACTTTGATTTGTATTCCTTTTATAAAGAAACAAAGGCTTACTTTCTATTTCTGTATTTTTTCCATTGTATTTATTTTTTGATATACTTAATACAGGATCTTTATTAGTATTATAAAGCGATTTTTTTAAATTACTGTAACCATTCACAATACACAATATCAAAATATTATTTTAAAAACAATATTATTTTTTTATTAGGGTAAAGCTTTTGTTATTATTTATGGTTTACGGTATAAACAAGAGATACAGCCACCAACGGATTACAAAAATATAATAATATTTTTTTAAATTTTTAATACTGTATGAATTTTTTCCACAATTTTTTAATATTGCACTATTGTGAGCATTTTTTAAATTTATGCCTCTGTGCAAGTTTGTCCTACCACTGTGCGAAATTCCTTCACCATTTTAATTTAAAACTACTGTGCGAATTCGTCCCACCATTTTTAAAATTTTTGTATGTAAAGGCATGCACATCAAAAAGAAAAAAATAAATTAAAAATGTAACAAATATTTTTTAATTAAACATTTTATCACGTATATTTTATATTTCATGTGTATTTTAAAATGTCATTAAAATAATGCTGGTTTTGATATTCTAAATTGTATACTCATAATATTTACCTTTAGGCATTCATAAAAGTAAATTTTAATTTCAGCATCCTTTAATAATTGTTAATTTGACTGGAGTGAACCAGTAATCATATTTAATTTTAAATTTATACTTACATGTATACACAATCCACCCTACAATTATTGTGCTATTCTTATCATATGTCATCAATTTTATGGTTAATTTACCATAACCCAAAAATTTACCATGGCGACACATTAACCTTGAAATTGACATTTGACAGTTTGATGACAGGTTTAAGATTTATTTTTTACAAAAGAGGAGTAAAATGGCACTTCAAGGCCTCTTTTAAGGCTAACAAGAAACTTCATGTTTTAGAGTTTTAGTATGACATAGAAATGGTTTAGTTTTTGGATACTTTTAAAAACCTGATGGTAAAGAATTCAATATTTAAATAATTTAAAAAAATCTTACCGGTAGAGGCTTGTTGTTCAAGTCGACCAGGGTGTCGCTGATGCTGAGCCTGCCATCCTGCACCAATCTTTGCAAAACCAACGAGTACGACCCGATTAATTTATCCGCGAATAACCGATTCCGACTGTACAATTCGATGCTCAAAAGTTCGTTTTCCTCTAGCGGTCGTGCGATGGGCCAGTCGAATCTCTGAAAACAAAAAAGGCAAACATGCATTTTTCCGAATAATGTAATCTATAAATTCTTTATTCTATGGTTTTCCGATGCTATACGATAAACATGTATAACACCCCCTTATATCCGCAAACAAAGTTGCTCGTATCGCTTGAATAAATTTAAATACAGATTTGTTACAAATGTATTCCAAAGTAAAATATATGAAACATAAAAGTATCTACCACAACGTGAATTAAACTGGCAAATATCTACGACGAAATGTGTGACGTACCTACTTAAAAAGTCATTAATTAATTTATTAGGGAAATAAATACCTAATTAAAATTAATGCTTCCAAAGCTAATATAAAGTTTATGCCTATACGATACGATATACGTTACGTTAATGTGTGTATTTTATCTAAGTGATCATGGTGAATTATTGTGTTTTTAATTATACCTAAATAAAGTTTAAGAAATAATTCATTGCATTTTCATGTTTTGACAAAGGTACGTTTATTTGTTGCTGCAGAATTAACTAATGATAACTTAAGCTAATATAATTTATATTTAAGTTTAGACATTTTTAAAAAATCTAACAAAAAATAATTGTTGTACAAACATAACCTTAAAATGTGTGTGTTCTCTAAAAAAACTCCGACAACTGCATTTTAAAATAGTAAACGACAAAATGTATCTACAAATTCATGGCAACATAATATTATATTGTAATACCCATGGTATTTTACTGCTGAGTGAAGATTTTCTAAATCACAGCTTTTAATAATGCTGAATGCTCTTTGAATGTAGACGACCTATTTGTTTTATGATATTTACTGAATTGAAATGTTTACAATTTTCACTAAAATGTGTATTTATTGTATCTAATAGGTACATTTTTGGACGCTGAATATAATCATTATATTCTGATTATTATAATCACTCATTTTATTTTAATTCAGTAAAAATATTATACCGGGTCGCTAAAAAACATATTCGGTGCTATATTAACATAACTATTGATTTTTTTGAACCGATTTATAACATTATTATTTTGTAATTTAACTTTATAAATCATTCATTATTTTGTAATTGGATATTTTCAATGGACTCCCTTTTGGAAAAAAGACCCAACCAACAGTATATTTAATGTTTACGTTTATTTTCTTAAATCAATTTAATTAAATTCAATGTTTAGTTTTATTTATATATTCTTTTAAATTAAAATAATCTTAAGTTGTTGGATGCACCCTAGTTACTAGTGCACTTACAGCACTCGGAATATAGATAATAATTATAATAAAATAAAATTTTGCTTTTCTGCAATATTAAAGTTTTTTGTTGCGAAAGTTAAAGTTAAAATGGCAATTCTAAATGCAATAGAGCAAATCTTAACCCAGAAACAAGATGAAATAATAATAATAACATAATAAATTCCCTCTTCAGGCAATTTTGGGTAAATTTATAGATTAAAGAACCTACTTCACCTTTGAAGGGGAGCTCTCGGATCCTAAGACATTATTCGTTATGTAAGTTTTAGATTAGATACATCTAAAGTACTAATCGACTTTATAATTCCATTTGGTTTCGGGAAATTGCTTAACAAATCAAAATAATCATATTAATTAATTAAATTTTATTATATATACTGTGTGACCCATTTGTTTGCGACTCACCCCTGTAAAATCTTTATTTATTGTTCAATTTTAACCGGATTAATTTTAAAGTATAGATCTTGATACACTTTATTTTTGTAGCAGAAAATACCATATTTTTACAAAATACAAGGCCTACTATGTCAGTTTTTGAGAATAAACTTTTAAGAAATAATTTAAGAGATGTTTAAAAAATATACAAGACAAGACAATGGATTCACCACCCCTCAAAACGACCCTACCCTAAATTTTATTAAAATTTTTTAATTAGAAACGATTTTGTAGCTAAAATAAAAATGCACAAAAATTACTATTCACCTTTAATTATTTTTTTTTTTCATAAGTTGACAGAATATTTTTCTTAAATAGTTGTTATTCTTTATTTCTAATTTGGATACAAAATCGTTCCTACTTAAAAATTTTCACTAAAATTAAATAAAGGGTCTTTTAAGGGGTGTTGGATCCAGTGCCGTGCATAGATTTTAGAAAAAAATATGAATTCTTAAAAATTTACTCCCAAAAACTGACATAGTAGGCCTTGTATTTTGTAATAATATGGTGTTTTTTGCTTCAAAAATACAGTTTAACAAGATCTACACTTTAAAACAAATGCGTTTAAAATCGCACAATAAATACATAAATTCCTGTGCAATTTTGAAATTATTAAAAATAAATTTGCTATCCTGGCATATTCACCATTTTTGCAAGTTTTTATTATTATTATTATTTTAGAGATGTTTTTCTGAAATATTCCCAAACAATCCATCCAAAATTACATTAATATTTTTTAACAACCCCAGTAAAAAACGGATTGTTCTTTAATGTGTTTTATGTCGAAATAAAAGGTATAAAATTGCACCCTTTGAAATCCAACGAGGGGCAAATGTTGATCAAGTTACAAGCGGACCTGCGCGATCTCGTCGCAAAAAAACGTAAAGACAAAACACGAAAGTTCATCTCGGCTCACCTGATCCACTAGAATCAGCTCGCTTCCATTGTCCTCGAGGATTTTGGTCAAGTGCGACACGCCTTGAAAGAGAAAGAAATACGTTAAAAAGTAAGACAAATTTTTAAAAATTAAATGTATTTTGGATAAAAATGCTAAAAATGTGCTGGCAAATTAAAATACATCATTTTTATCAAATTAATTTTCCTAATTGCGTTTTTAGGTTTTAATGTAAATTTGTATTAACAAATTAAATTACCTAATTTAAGGGTAAATTTTGCAACAACCCTAATTCAAAAGGGTTCTATTTATTTAACTTTAAATTAATGTTCATTATTATATCATACAAACATAATTTTCATCCTAAATTTTAGGGAGAACCAAGTTTATTTCTATGTATGTATGGGTATCTTCTTTATTAGACGAGCGGTTGAATTAGAGAAAAGTTTGGTGATTACCAGTCTATTAAAATAACATTGGAAAATTGAAAAAAGCGGTTTTCATATAATTAAAAATAAAACTAAAAAACTGTCAAAATAAAAAATTTTCGTTATTCCTGGAAATTCAAAAATAGTAAGCGTTTATAATCAATTAAAGTCTATTTTTTTTTTAAATAGAACACCCCCTATATTTTTACATTTTTAAATTTTACATAAAATTCTGAGTAAAATTACCATGTTGTATACCTAAAGTGAATAGTTTTCGAGTTATTAATTTTTTGTAAATAGAATAAGATTAAACAAACATTCAATGTTTGTTTTAAATATTTAAATAAATATAAATTTTATTTGGAAAATTATATTATTTGTTAATTTTTTTAAACAAATAGATTTTTTTGAATCAGTTTTTTTAGAGAAAGCACAAGAATCCAGAAATAAGGATTTAAAAAAAATTTGCTACATGTTTTAATAAAAACAACCAAACAGCAATAAACAAGGATATATTGCATCCCTTAAATTTTATCTGACCCCCAGATAATATTAGTTGGGAGAAAAACAAAATCAGTAAAATATATTCAAACGAAGAATTTAAGGAATTATTAATGGATTAAATAAAAAAGTACACATTTTGGTTTTTTTTTAGTTAAATCTATACCCGAAGCTATACCTACATATATAAAATATATTTTTTTATAATAATTTAAAAATAAAAAATATTTTTGAACACACATTATAATATAATAATAATAATAATAATAATAATAATATAAATAATTGAATTATTTCCGCAGAAAGGTAATTTTCGACAAAGTTATGGCGGCCATTATAAAAACAAAAGATGGTGATGGTAACTCAAAATATAGTAGCGAAGAAATTGAATGAAAATGTAAATGCTTGTTATTACGAAACGTTTTTCTGATATAAATAAAAAATACTAATACCAAGAATACTTGGTGCACCCTGTATAATTGGTAATTAGATACTGTAAACAAACCTTGTTTAATATTAAAATTTCGTTTAAAAACTTGATTTAAACTTTGCTTGTTCTCGAACAAAATTAAACGCTTGTTGAAAATAAATTACTCGTCTAGACAAAATCAACGAACCTAATTTATGTTTTAAATAAACAAATCCCTATAGTACAATAAAACCTGTTAAAATAGAGATAAAATTTCTTATACATTTGGATTGTTGTTTTTGGCAGTAAAAGTTTTAATGGAGTTATTTAATTACTTTGCCTACATGAATAAAATATTTGCTAGTATGTAAGTAATGAAATAGAAAACTATCTTTATAGATAAATAAATAAATTAATAGTAAAATATCTATTAATTACCTATCTCATTTAAAAAATATTTCTTTACTTACTTTAAATAATGACATAAAAAACTTATTGCAAGCCTTTTATATTTAAATAAAGGTTTACTAAAAAAATTTCAATTCATGCTGTGGAATCTTTATTAAAAATTCTTTGAAAATAAAAAAAATTCTTCCATATTTGCATACCTAGTTCTACTTTAAAATAACTCTTTGTATAACAAACATTTTTATAATTAAAAAACTTCCTCGTAATTATATTAACATTTTTATTAAAACTTTTTTTAAAACTACTTTAATAAACTTTTTGCACTAGTAAATATACAGGGTGTTTCACATTCGTGGTCCATGAGGTTTCTGGAGAACGAAAAAGATATCGATTTGAAATGCCACTTCCCGTTTAACCCTGACATTAATTTAGTTATTTCAAATGGAACACCCCATATACAGTATGTTAGCGGTCATTCCTCATAAAAAGTTCTGCTTGTTTTAAAAAGTTTATTGCCATACTTTAAATTTGAAAATATTTTACAGGGGTATTACAAAACAAGAAAACATGAAATACTATCAGAAGTAAACTACCTTTGTTTTTCGTTTTGCAAAGTAACAAATAAAAAAAGATTTCAAATCCTATAGGATATATCCAAAGACTTATTGACTAAAATATTTGCTTAACTTAATTATAGGGATATATTTTATCTTGACATATTTTGAATAGTTACTTTGTCACTGTGACATTTTTTGTCATTCATAGGTAAAGAATACGTGAAATGAGGTACAAAAGTATAAATTAGAAATTGCTGACTTGAAATTTTACAATTAGTCTTTGGATATGATTTAAAATCTTTTTCTTATTTGTCACTTTGCTCCAAAACGAAAAATAAAGGTAGTTTACTCTTGATAGTATTGCATGTTTTCTTGTTTTTCGACCCCTCTGTATAATATTTTCAAATTTAAAGTATGGCAATAGATTTTTCATAGCCAGCAAAATTTTTATGAAGAATGACTTTTGGTCAAAAAATTTTTAATCCATTTTTTCTCTTGGGCCCTCTATCCGTGGACAATGTCCACTGGACATACTGTATTTACACATTTTTAATTATTATTATAACTATTATTAATATTATAAACGCTTTTAAAATTTCAAATCAATACCTTTTTCCGTTCCCCAGAAACTTCCAATGTGCACCCTGTATACATAATTATCCCTTAAAATTGTTTAAAAGGTAGTCGATGCATTTTTAACAAGAAGTTCTACAATATCATTTAAATTACACTTATTATTAATAAGCACGCTCGACTTTTTACGGAAACTTTCCTTCATTAATTTCAAGGATTTAAAAACGAATTTAAAAGTTCGTTAGTATAACAAAGGATGTTTTAATCTTGCCAATTTAAAATACCTTTACTTTTGTATTTGAATAATAGTATATTATGTAAGTATTTAGTTTATTAAACGCCATTTTAGTCACGAATTTTAATTATGCACGAGAGAAGCTTGCAAGCCAGTGTTTAATTAAAATAAGTGTATTGAAAAGTTTAAAAACGAGTTGCCAACTATACTTTTTTTACGACAAATATTATTATAAAAAATAATTAATTGCTAATTAATGTATAAATTTTTATACAGTAACCATAATTTGTGTTTTACCTGCTTTTAAAATGTCAGTATCTGCAGATTTAAAAAAAATATTTTGACATGTCAAAATATTTTTTTTAATGGACTAAACAATCCTTTAAATCCAATATGGAAGCAGTTTTTCAGAGCAAAAGTGAAAACTTTGAAAAAATTAGCTCATACTAATTACTCTATTTGTATAAACAGTACATATTTCATAATATTATACCTGTAGTCACTGATGAAAAAAATACAAAATTATTAAATAGTTTAAGCATTAATAATTTGGAGTGAAGTATCCAATAAAGCATTCTCTTCACTTTTGCTCTGAAAAACTGCTTCCAAATTATAAATTTAAAAATTAACATTTATTCCCCATAAATAATTGTTATTTCTTGGTGAACTAAATTGTTTAATGCCTTTTTTATTGGGCTGTCAAATTTGCATATTTTGTATTTTTTTACCGGAAGAAAGTTAGTTAATAATCATTTTTCACGTAAGTTTTTAAATTACTTTGCAAGATAATGCACAATGTAGGTCAGAGCTACCTGTAGAGTCTACAGTGTAGACTGTGCACTGCGTTTTTTATATACGTCAACCTAATTTACATCAAAAGAAAAAGGGTGAAAGCTTTACTATATGCATTAATTTGCATAAAGTTTATAAAAGCTGTAATTTATTTTCCGTGTACCAGATTTATGAATTTATTAGGGCAAAAATACATTAAACTGCAAAATTAAGTATTTTTGCAAAAGTCGCAAATGAGAAAAAGTGTCAAAAGTGGCAAATTTCCTACCCTTGATTAATAATTATTGGAAATTGTTAATGGGAAATGTTTTTTAAATCACACTGTATAAATTTAGATGACAATTCCGTTTATGTATAAAATATCACAAGGTTTAAAAAACAAAATCAATCGTGAAAAAAAATTACACAAGTTTTTAACTAAATGCTAAAATAGGCTTGAATTAGTCGAAAATGACCAGGTTGCCGTGGTTTCATTTGTTTTTCTTATCGCACACAGCCGGTAATGGAATGCAAAACGGGCCGGAATAATTAATGAAACACGTCACACACATGCACGCCTAATAACATTTCAGTTCAACTGGTGGAAATACGTAAACCTAGAAAATCGATCCAAATTCATATTTAATTATAGTAATTTTTAGGCTTTATTCATTCGATTCATAATGACAAAAATGTCAGCTTTGTAAACAGTTTTAGTATTTATAATAATCTTGAATTACTTATTTTTGTTTTTAACGAGATAAAATCGCTTTTAACCAAAATTGAACAATAAAATAGAAATTGGCAAAAGTAGTTTAACTAACAAAATAAAACAAATTGAATGAAAAGTTAATTAACATACATTTTACATTTGTATTGCAAAAAATATATATTTACTTAAATGTTTTCATCTGCATATTAAAATTTGGGATAATAAACACACTAAAAACATATTTAACCAAATATTAACTAGATTTTATGTTAATCCAGGTTCACATAACTTTATGTTAAGTTTACAACCAACTATGTCAATATTTCAACCATAATTCTTGTAATTTTTAAGGACCTTATTTTTACAAACTTTTTTGGAGACCCAGCAACAAAAGTATTTGTTGGAATTCGGTAACTTAAATTTTAAAAAAATTGATAAAAAATATTGCTTTATTAATCAATTTTTTGAACAAAAAAATTAACACACAGGTA